AGGCAGGCCGGGGGTGGGAGAAGCCAGGGAGAAAGCTGGAGTACGCGGGAGCAGGAGAGGCGCGGGTGAGGATTCAGGGGCGTGGTTAGAAGACACAGCGAAGGTTCGCGCTGTGAATAAACCGCGGGTTGAACTCCTGTGAAGCGTTTGGGCCTTGAGAGGGGAGGAGAGGGTTGGAAGCGCGTGAGGGAGGGAATTATTTCTCTCCACGAGGGTGCTTGAGGGGAGTCACCCTGAAAGCCTGTGGGGTGGAGTCTCGGAGAACGACCAAGGGCCGATATTGAGGGAAGGCTCCCGAGAGGTTGATTTTCGTAACGCCATGGAGGTTTTCTCCTTTTTTCTACAAATTGCAAGGAGCGATGCGGGTGATTAACGGCAGGACTGCTGCGTTAAGCTATTAGCTGGTGTGAGAGCCTTCTGTCTTAATCCAGATCATTTCGTCTCCCTCAAAATCTTGTATCTTATATGGTTCAATGTATTTAAGTTGAGCTTGAAGGATGCTTCTGTTGTTGTTAAGCTATCAAACTGTTTTACTGTTCCTCTTGGCTTGTCAGAGCCTTGTGTTGGGCTGTCCAGCGGGCAAGGCCAGGTACAGCACGTTGTGTGAGCTGCTCTCCTCTTACTTCTTGCCATGGTTTGCTGGCTTGTCTCCCACATTGCCTTGACATTCATGGCAGACTGGCAGTATTATCACAAGCACTTTACTTTTGCGTCTGAGATGCAAATTCCACAAAAAAATGCTTTGAACAAGATGGCCTGTTTTTGAAAGGAACAGGGAAACAGGAACGTCATTCTTTCTTGCTCCTACCCAGAATAAGCAGAACTCCTTCCTTGCTGGGAATAACAGGCATGTCAGGTTCAGGGTTGGTTTTGTTCTTCCTCACCTTTTTTTGCCAGAATAGTTTAAGAGAACAATCTTGCTAGTTATAAAGGCAATTATCAATAATTGCACTAAGCAGCTGTGGGTAACTGAGCCTTAGAGTCCAACTTTATATTTTGTTTTGTGATACGTTTATCGGTATATATGCAGCATTGTAGCTGTATATGTGTGAAGCTTGCCTGACGTTCCTCTTCAGAAATGTAGTTATTGTTAATTACACAAGCAAGAAAAGTTTGTATGTGAAATGCAGTAGGAGAATTTATTATGGCATGAATGCAAGCACGTAAGATTTTGGTTTTGTTGGGAAGCAAAGCTTGTCTTTTGGTTTTGAAAGTCGTTTAGGATTATCAGCACTACCACAACTGAAGTGCTTAATAATGGATCTTAGTGCTGTGTTTGAGATCTACTTTTTTATGATGAGGAGACAGAATAGTGTATGTGAAATAACATGAATGCCTCTAGACTTCCCCCTCCCCCCATTCTGTGAAAGAGGCTGGCAATTCTGAGATTAACAAGGCAAAATGATTTGCACGTGACTGTTTATGCTGCATTTTTTGCTGGTTAGTGGGGCAGCTAGTGTTACTTTATTAGCTGTTTCTCAGAGAAGCTGCTAACAGTATGTGAGCTGACGTTTTTGGAACAGATCCAGTCATCTTTGAGCATGCAGAGTTGTTGCAGAAGTAAAATATTCACAGTGGAATGATAAGCGGGAGTTCTGGATATGTATATAAAGTGTGAATGTTAAGGGAGTGGTTCCTGTGAGAAGGGAATTTCAGTAGTTCTTTCAGTCTTCAGTGACTTCTCATCACTTAGATGTTTTTATATTTAAATGATGCATGCCTTTGTTTTCTGCTTTCTTGTGTCCTGGAAATTCTGTTTGCTTCTGTAGTTTAAAAGGGTTGAATTTCAGGGTGCTTTTCAAGGTGCCTCATGGATCTTAAACGTTAGCAGATTCGTTGAGTGTGAAACCAATTGTTGATACTGGTTTCTTTAGTCCCCTAGAGGAACATCGTTTTGCTGCAATGTGATAGTAAAATCCAGGGATTTTAATTCAAATGTCTCCTACTCTGTAGGAACTTCACTGGCATAGAGTGATTTGCCGGTTATAGAGTATATTTCATTTAAAAAGCTTGCTTTTTAATATAATTGTTAATACTATGTAGTTAGATTTGTGTAATATCCATTGAGTTATGGAATAAGTAATTAGCTGCAGGCAATTTGGCAGCTTAATTGTAGAGTCAGGAATAGAATCTCTTGTTCAAGACTACTGGGAAACGTCTGCCCGAAGACAGCATCTTTGTGCCTGCCATTTTGGTTTTTTTGTTTACTGTAGATTTCACCCACATAAAAAATAATAACATTTGAAACATAACAGTATCAGCTGCTGTGATATCAGACACATGTATTTTAATAACAAAACATCTTAGAAATGTTACCAGTGCCACTGTTTTGTTTCACTCAGTAGTGTATTCATTGGCTTTAGCAAAAGAAAATTCTTTGTTTAATTAATAGATCTCTGTAGTGTTTTATGTGGTTTTCAGCATCATAGTTTACAGCTTGGAAACTGTTTTTGTAAGAAATAAACTTTTAAACATGAGCAGGCTCATATTTAGTGTGGAGTGTATCACTTTTTAATATTTTTCCCCTCTGTAACTGATTCTAACTTAGTTTAGTAAATTCAGCTTACTTACCAGAGACCTAGCTTTCAAAAGGGACCACGATTTGGATTGTCTCTCTACTTGTCTGATGCTGTGGTTCATAAAATAAAATGTATGTAATACTACGGAGTAGATTTAGTATTATAATATTGTATATGGTGTTAGAGCTAATTAACTCCCACCAACACAGTGCACACATATGTGCACGCAGAGCCTGCTCACAGTCTGGAGACATGAAGGTATACCAGCAGCTAGTGGTCAAGGGAAGGAAAGTGCAATAACAAAAAAAGACTGTATTTCTGTTGTGTACAACACAACAGAACTGCAGAAGGTTAAAGGATATCAATTATTAGTTGAACTCTGTGAAACACATTTTTAATTAGGACTGGTTTGTGTGAGGCTGTGTTCCACCTCCTTCCCCTGCTGTAATCATTAACTGGTGGCAATTTACTCTTGGAGGTATTTGTAGTGTTTCTGGTTGCTTTGGTATCAGTATAGATTTCTCTTCCCAGATAATCTCTTGGGAATTTCCTGGGTTGACAGCTCCTGGATTCCAATATTAAACAATGGGAGCGTGTTGGACTATTTCTCAGAGCGAAGTAATCCGTTCTATGACCGAACATGTAACAATGAAGTCGTCAAAATGCAGCGGATGACCTTGGACCATTTAAAGTAAGTTGTAATTTGGAGCTGCTTCCTGTGCAGTGTCCTTTGTCCCTCCATCCAGAGGCACTGGTGGTTGAATGGAAGCATGCTGGAAACCTTCTGCTCTTGCAGGGGAGCACAGCTTTTTTTGTATTTGGATGTCTTCTACTTCCTGTTATGCCATTTCAAGGAGTTGTTAAGCATAAAGGATTCTGTATATGTTCTGAGATTCCAGTAAATCACCTCTTAGCTTTTCTAATTCAGAGAAATCTGTCTGCTCATCCTTCCAGCTCAACAGAACCTGTGTAATGTTAATGCGGTTAAATGTTTTTCAGTGGTGAATAGGGTTTGTGTTAGGGGGTACTTCGAGTTCATAAATAGTTCGTGTTTCCATATCCCACTGGCTATGTGCCGTAATTAGTACATAATTCCTCCGAAGAGCTGGCTTTTTAGTATGGATAATAAAAGTAGTGAGTGTTGTAAATAAAGTGATCACAGATGGTTGTGTAATGAGATTGCAGAATGGGCAAGTTAAGTTTCCTTGCAGTTCGCCATCTGCTGCACTGAGCACAAGTGAGATGTTTGAGAACTATTTAAAGACTCCACAATGTGATAGGGAGTGCACAAGCTGAGCTAAAAGTTCATTGGTAAAGTCACTTGTGCTCAGATGTGGTTGCAGAGAGGCTTTTGCATCAGACACACGGATGGTGACATAATACACTGGTCCTTTGTTTCTGTATTTAAATGACATGTCTGTCATGATAGATTGTTATATTTCTTACAATTTGTTTGTTTGCTAACATGTTCCACTTAGATGTTGTGTCAGGTTGTAACTCCCTTTGTTGCAGCTAAGTTTTGATAGCTAGCTCAGGAAATCCTATGCCTCTGTTTACTGCACATTATATGTAAGAGCTTCCAAAGCATCAGAACTTCATCCCTTTACTGCCAGGCCCTTTGGTAGCTCTTCACATCGTGCAGATTTTATTTTGAGGAAGATACTTATTCTGGTTGCTTTTTTTTCAGCCAGATGGTTGGAGTGGAGTACATCCTTCTTCATGCTCAAGAGCCCATTCTTTTCATTATCCGGAAGCAGCAAAGGCAATCTCCAGCACAAGGTAAGGTCACTCAGTTCTTGTCACTGTTGAGATGGCCGATCAGTTAGTCGCTTTTATATTTTCCTGATTTGTGTTTAAGCACTTCTGTTTCCCCTTTTCTGTCTTTCGTCTTAGATCTAAATAAAAAGGGTATCAGACTTTGTGGTGGGGTGGAGGTATTTTGTCTGACAGAGTGACCTCCAGTGTGCTGATAGCAGGGATTGCCATCTTGTGGTGAAATGTGAAGAGTGCAATGAGAAAGTCCTGCCCTGCCCTGTGCTATGTTTTGCCATAGGAAATTGGTAATAGCATTCATGCCATGTTATATTTATCTGTTAGGCTATGCAAGAGTTTTCATTTTAATTATTTGAATACAAGTCTAACGAGATGCTTGCTTGGGGCTGGTGAACTTAGTTTAATTTGAGCTAATCATCTGAAGTGGCTAGTATTTATTTATTTTTGGAGAACCATGATTTCCATTAGTTAGGGAGAGGGATCTTTCATGCTCCTGTTTGTGTCGCATCGCTGTCTTTCACTTTCAGCTGTGGACTGGTAGGATCTTGTCAGTAGAAGACGATGACCCGTGTGAAAAATGACCCTGAGATACTGCAAATGCTTGTTGTTTTGGTTATTCCTCTGAGAACTGAGTATTTTGGAATTGTGAGGGAATCTCATGACAACATGACTCCTTACAGTGTCACTGATGACCTTTCTAAGTTTTAAAAGAAACACCTTAGCATTTTTTCCATTTGCATGCAGCTGGCTTCTTTATTCCTTTGTAACCTTAAATTTGTGTGTGTGATTAATTACAAAAGTAACCACATTTGAATAGTTATTGGACTGCCTTCTGTGTTTATTGCATGTATATATAAAATAGGTTATTTCACGGTAAGCTTTACAGAAAAGGCAGGGTTACTGCTAGTTATTCCTAACTTATTTTTAGTGTCTTAGGGTCTGCATATGCATTTTAGTCCTGTACAGGAGTTTGCCTTGTCTAGCAGTGCTTCTTGCTTATATGAGGTAATGGCCTCTTTATATGTTCTTTTTCAGTATGGAACTGCAATATATGATTCATTCTTTAACAGATTTTTTTTTTTAGTTGTTTCTTTATTAAGGGTTTTGAATCTTGCTTTCAGAAGTTAAGGATGAAAATATCATGCAGCCCTTAATTTCCTGTTTTGAGACTTTTCAGATCAAGAGTAGAGTTGAGGCTTCCACAATAAATGTTCAGAGTTTTGCTGTAATGCAAATATGTGTTTCATGGAACTTAACGGGGACTTGTTTGGTAACATCGTTTCCACTGTGACTGTGCAGTTTGTGCTAGATACCTTGCTTGAGTCACATAGTTCCCTAGCTCAGATGTTATCTATATGTTTAATTTTGTCATGGTACAAATACTAGTGTATTTGAGACACCAGAATGGGGGTGGAAAACTAAAATTTAATGAGTTCACAGGTAGCGTTGAGTACTCAGGTAGAACTACTGCAGGCCTGTCTTACGAATTCTGTGTGTGTTTTTTTAAAAAAAAAGGTGTATTTATATTTAAAATCTTTAAGCCAAGTTTTGGCTATTGAAGTGATTTTGGAAAAATCTTTAGATACAATGATTAGAGCAAGTCACCTGTCTAGATAAGTAGGCTGATCAGGTGCAGACCTGTGAGACAGTAAAGCTGCTGTTCTGTGTCTTGCTCCACTTCTAAGGAGATGCTGAGAATCCTCTTTCTTTTGGGAAGCGGGTACTGGCTGTAATATGTACCCAGCTGTCTCAGTCTGTTAAATTTAGGCAAGTGTCCAGGCTTCATAAAATGCAAGTACTGGATGAATTGGGTCCTGTCAGTAAAAAGGTTCAGACAGAATGTGTTAATACAGATGGCGGGACTGGAACAAATGTGTGTGCAGGTAAAATCCTTAGGAATGTGAAGCTGAAAGCATCGCTGTAGTTTCTCAGCTGAAGAATGTTTGGCAGAGTATTACGGGAACAGTTGTGATGTTCATTGCAGCTGCAGTGCAGAGGAACAAGAATTGTTGATTGGTCAGTAGAGGTTCCAAATCTGATTTGGCCAATGCCTTTGGAAGGTCATTTTTTTTTTTTGGCAGAATGTTATTAACTTAGAAAGGCATGCTCTGTGTGTGCTTAGCTGCCATTGGGTCTGGGAAATCTGGCTAAGAGGCCTGTACAAATTGGAGAAAGTGGAGGCCAGAAGAATGAAACTTTACAGGTTTCTGCTGATAGCAACGGCAAGCAGAACTACTTCCAGTGCAGTTCATTTGACTCTTCTTGTGTAGCTCTGTAAACCCCAACTCTTGTAAGGTCAATTATTTGTTTGCAGTAGGACAGGACTTAAAGCTGTCTTTATCAGCCTGTGGCTAAGTTGCAGATAACACACCTTGAAGGAAAGAGTTAAAAAGAGATGATTTGGTGATGAGATGAATATTGCAATTTCTGCTGTTACTGCTGAAATTCAGAACAAATACAGAGTCTTCAGCTAAAGTTTCAAACTGATCCTGCCTCTTTTTTTCTCCCCACAGTTATTCCATTGGCTGACTACTATATTATTGCTGGAGTGATTTATCAGGCACCTGACTTAGGGTCTGTCATTAACTCCAGAGTGGTAAGTGTTCTGTGCATGTGATATATACCAGTTTGTATCTGCTTTTACTTTTGGTTGTTCCCCAGGCTGTATAAATCCCTCCTTCACTGTTTCAAGGGAAGATTTTGTTTCGTATACAGTAACTTAAAACAAACCCCGCGTGTTAATATAGTGTGGATCCCACATGGAAATGAAGGATCCTGGGAGAGTGCAGTATGGTCTAAAAAGTAGGATACATTGTTTAAGGGTGAAGGATCAGAATAACTGAAGCCACACAATTGGTGTAACATGAGGTTTGAAGAAGCAAAAGAAAAATGACTTAACAAATACATATGAAATATTAATGAAATACACAGTGAAGCTTGCTTTGGAATGTTATGGTAGTCTAATATTTCTCTTTAAATGAAGCTTATCTTTTTAAGTTGATGCGGTATTTCTTTTTATATTGGATACTCAGGTTTGTTTTGATTTCTTCTGTTTTAGTAAACTACGCTTTTGCAAATTTGTCTCTGTCAGTTTAGAAGAGCACTTCAGAAAAGGTCTTGTAAGAGCCTGTTAAAGAGATTACGTTATTGGTCCAAAACTAGATGTCCCAAGTTCCCTTCCCAGAGCAAAAATGAACATAGAACACTAATTTTAAAATCCTACTTTCAAAAACATATACTGTATTTTCTCCTTAAATTCTGAACACTGCCTTATGTTCTTGTCCTGAAAGCTCACTGCGGTACATGGAATTCAGTCTGCATTTGAAGAAGCTATGTCCTACTGTCGCTATCACCCATCCAAGGGCTACTGGTGGCATTTCAAAGACCAAGAAGAACGAGGTATGTTTCCTAGTTGCTCATGCATGCTTTGGGAGAGGGAAGGTAATGTAAGGAAAAAGGCAATGCACAGTAATGGTGTAGAGATGAGGTTAAGTGTCTGTCTGAAGGGTAAGTTAGTGTTCCCTATCAGGTCGAAGGAATCTTTCTCTTCTGTACTGGTGGGGGTGAATATTGAGACACGGGTGGGAAATGAAAATGGTGAGTCATGTGTCAACAAAGTGTGAAACTCTTCAACCCACTGGAGACCAAAGTATGTTTTCAGAAGCCAGACCAGTTTGTCAGGAGGTAAGAATTGTCCATAATCTGTCTTCCACAAAAAAACCCCTGATGTCAAAGGGAAAATGTAGGTGAAGTTTAGAGGAGATGAATACCAACTTGTACATCAAAGATCTGCTAATAGAACAGAACTTTTAATACAGCTTTCCCTTATGTTTCCGTGCCTGCAGAGAAAGCTAAACCAAAAGCCAAGAAGAAAGAAGAGCCAAGTTCTATTTTCCAAAGGCAGCGGGTAGATGCTTTGCTTTTAGACCTAAGACAAAAGTTTCCACCCAAATTTGTTCAGGTATGACACCTATAAGCCATAGTATTTCTGTAACTTACTTAGAACTTACGGCAGTTGTAAGTACTTGAAACAATGGGAATTTTGTGTGCTTTCTGCAACAGTAACATGGATTAGATAATATATTTGAAATGGAAGTCTGAGTGGAGTGTAGGATGCCTGTTTGTAATTGCATGAGTCATTAAGACCTTGGCAAAACTATGAGAGTGAATTTTATTATACCAATTCCTCATCTAATCACAGAGGGTCTGTTCTTGTCAGCTATCAGATTTTGCTGCTGCTTCCAGTTTCCTGCTTTGTGGGCTCAGTCAAACCACCGCAGCTATTTTGTTCTAGTTACTCCATTGTTCTGGAGGCTCATTAATTAGCGTGGAAATTCTTGGCATTCTGTGAAGTTGTTGTGATTACCTTTGATCGTCTCTAGTGGCCGTTTGTTCTACCAGGTCTTCTGCATAGGAGCAAAGGAAATTATGTTTACAGCATCTTGCGAAACTGTTCGCTCCTCAGGTGTGGGAAAGACTGGCTAACTGTATTTTTTGCTTTAGTGCTTTCCAGTTGTCAGAAGGAAAACTGGGTATTATAAAATGTTAATTGGATTTTATTTAAAGTGTATTTAGTGATACCTTCTCCCCTCAACTCTTACATATGAGGGCACATTGCTTTGTTTATATTCCTAAGTGAAAAGCAGGAAGGGTTAAGATTTATGACTTTGGTTCCACTGATGTGTTGTTTTTTCCTTCCTCCCCCACAGCAAAAGCCTGGAGAAAAGCCTATCCCAGGTAAAACTCTAATATTCTCACAAGACTTAAAAAATAGGCTCTATATAGCAGTGTCTTCCAGTTGCCATGTAAGCTCCTTGCTGCTGCTACGGAGGTGGTTAGGAATTCTGACATTGCTCTAACCCAGTACTTTGCTCCGTTTGGCAAAGCACCAGGTAACAGTTCTCTGTGACAGCCAGAGTGAAAGTGGAAAAAATGCGTATTCTCCTCCTGCCCTTTCTGTCTGTAAAACGGTATTGCCTGAGGGTCCAAATGCAGGGAATAGTCTTTGAAAGCAGGAGGAGGGTAAACGGGTGAATGAAGGAACAGTTAATCAGTCCAGCATCTTAGTGATTTTTGCATGGTGCTGCAAGCATGTGAAGGCTTTGAGTTGATCATAAGCAACCTCAAAACAGGAAAAGCATGAAGTGTATCGCTTCAATCTGTTCCACTTTTTTTACCCGTGTAACAATAATGAAGGACTAAATTCATACCTATACATTTGAATTTAATTTTGCCCCTTTGACATCAATGATATTTTCTAAGTACTCTGAACAATATTTTAGGAATAAAAATTGGAGGTTTAACTTTCTTTTGCTGTTACTTCTTAAGTGGATCAAATCAAGAAAGAACCAGAACCAGTCCCTGAAGCTGTCAAGCCAGAGGAGAAAGAGACTGTAAAGAATGCTCAGCATAGTGCTGGCACTAAAGGACCACCTGAAAAACGGATGAGACTCCAGTGAAGGGAGAAGTTGTTACACATCTGGATGAGTCGGTACCTGGAAAACAAGATTCTTGCTCCCCTTTCATTGTATATAAGCTCTTCAGCTGAGACTGACAATTCAGGGACTGAAGTCTCTGTAACAGCTTTTTCTGTAGAAACCTGTCACACAAGTGTTAATGTAAAGATGTGAACTGCCTCAAAAAAAGGACTTTTCAGTCTTCATGTTATTTTGAATGTTCGCTTCTGGGAATGGTTTTCACATGGACATATTTTGCAGCCTCCTGAAATCTTTACAAACTCTTGCATCCCTTGTGTCTTGGTTTCCTATGTAAAAAGAAAAACTTTTATATAAAAAAAAAACCCAACCCTGAATTCTTGGCAAATAAAACTCCTGGCTGCTGGAATGCCTTTCTTAAATGCTTACTTTGTTGGTAGCAAATATGCCATATGTGTTGGCAGCATTTTCTTGGATATCAGGATATATTGTGTGCTATTTTGAGAAAGAAAAGTTCAACTAAATCCTTTAGTTGATTTGGCTGCTATAAATTGCTGTGCTTTTAATATGCCAGATAAAAGATTGATAACTGGAGTCTCAAATCCATGTAATTAGATGTCAAACTGCTCTCAGTCTCTAAATGTTCTTGGGCATCATTTTACTTAATGGCTAAGCTGGTCTTTTATTATAAAAGCTATTGTTCTACGAGAGATTTTTGATGATATGATGATATAAAACAGGCTAAAATATCTTGCTGTTGCATACTCAGTGAAGTTTATATTTCTTCTTTTTTCCACTGTAACTCAAATAGGAGTTAATCTCTTCCTCTGTGCTTCTAGCACTTTCTTGCTGCATCTGATCACCTTGATTAGTCATCTACCTTTTAGACCTGAGGAGGTAGTAGAGTGGAAGAGAAACATCAGTGACAGCTATACAATTTGCTATTTAAGCATGCTGCGTACACAAACCGTTTTTTTCTCAGTAAAATTAGAAGTCATCAATTGCAAAGAAATGACTATTGTTTTGTTTTGTTTTGTTTTTTTCCATTGAGGTAATGGAGCAATCCTTGAAATAGCTTGCTTTCTTTTCACGACTGTTACCTGCTTGCTTGTAGTAAACTGTAGTAAGCAAGGAAAAGGTCTGTACATAGCAGACAAAACGTAGATGGGAAGGAAGACTAAGATATTCTTAGACAGCTGTGTCGAATTTATTTTGAGGTTATAGGAGACTTTTTCTGTTTCATTAGCTAACAAACAGCTCTGACTGGGTAGCTATTGAATGATGGAAAGACCTGTGTAGTTTTTGTCCTGTAATCCAAAGCTGTAATGTTAAAGAAGTAGATAAGCCAATAGCTGTTTGCTGTTGATGCAGATACAGACCTAAAACTGATGTGTGGGTGTACTTAGCTTCATTTCATACCATGTGGATCAAGTTTGAATAGCTGTTTCTCCAGAAGTTGATGGAAGTAGATAATAAGCTATTGCGAACTCTTAAATCAAGTGAAGACATAGAAAGCAGTTATTGTGAGATGCTCAAAACAAGACAGAGCTAGTCCCTCAGCACTGAATATTTACAAGGTAGTGTAAATACACTTACAACAAAAGGGTGTTAATTCTTTCTTGTATTAAAGAAATTCCTCTGAAAGCAAGATGCTTAAGAAGCACCAAGGCCATCATCACATCCACCCCATAATGGAAAGGGGGATCTCCAGGAATGAGACATGAGTGGTGAGGAACCTCAGGAGTCCTTGCTGGATTTTTGATGTTCAGAATAAAGTCCTTGGAAACGGTCATTACAGGAGCTGAATTTCTCTATAGTTATTCATTATTAAGAACCTGTATGTCATTTGGAAAAATCACAGAATCACAGACTAGTAGGGGTTGGAAGGGACCTCTGTGGGTCATCTAGTCCAACCCTCCTG